AGCTTCTCGTGTTCCTTCTTCCTGATGTTGTGATCGCTTGGGATTGCTACATCTATCACTACGACCTTCTTTCTCTGTTTGTCCACCACTACTATGTCCGGTTGGTTGGCCATTACCAGTTTGTCAGTTTGTATCTGGAAGTCCCACAGGATCTTAGCTTGGTCATTCTCAACCATCTTTGAAGGTGTGTCCCATTTTGACTTTGGGGCATCTAGCCTGTAGTTGGCACAGATGTTTCTGTACACTATGCCAGCCACTTGGTTATGGCATTCCATGTATGCCCTGCCTGCTAGCATCTTGCATCCCGCTGTTATGTGCTGGATTGTCTCAGGGGCATCTTTGCACAGCCTGCACCTGGGGTCCTGTCTGGTATGGTAGACCCCGGCCTCTATTGATCTTGTACTTAGAGCTTGTTCTTGTGCTGCCAGGATTAGTGCCTCTGTGCTGTCTTTCAGTCCAGCTTTGTCCAGCCACTGGTAGGATTTTTTGATATCAGCCACTTCTACTATGTGACGGTGGTACATACTGTGCAGAGGTTTGTCCTTCCATGAGGGTTCCTGCTCTTCCTTCCCTTGTTCCTCTGGTTTCTACTGCCTGAGGTAGCCATCACTCAGGGCCATCTTCCTGATGTATTCATGGATCTTTGTTGTTTCATCCTGGATAGTGGCTCTGACGCTCACTAATCCTTGGCCTCCTTTCTTCCTCTTAGTGAACAGTCTCAGGATGCTGGACTTGGGGTGAAACCCACAGTGCATTGTAAGGAGCTTCCTAGTCTTGATGTCAGTGGCCTCTATCTCCTCCTTTGGCCAGCTTATTATGCTAGCGTGGATCATGTCAGGGCCTGGTGCTGTCCAGCTCTTCATACTTGAGACCCTCTCTTGAATGTCTGCCATTGTGATGATTACTGGGTCTTGTGCAGGGAGGTTGCTGTGGTCTGCTCTTAGGTCCACCAGCCACTGGGCAGCCTTGGTGGGTCAGCTGTCATGTTATTACCCTGCCACTGAAAATATACCTTGGATGGCTCAGTGGAGAACATTCGGTTTATTCTTCTGGCTTCAACCTCTCTGGTGTACCTCTTCAGCCAGGTGGGCCAGGGCTGTGAGCCTTTGCTTGGCAGTCTCCAAGGCCTCAGGTATGAACAGTGAGTTGTACTTCTTAGGTACCCCTTTGTTCATCATGCCTTTCTGCAATTCCGATAGCTGGCTAACTTCTCTCCCTGCTCCATGGAGGATACTGCTCCTTATGGCATTTGTTGAAGTTATAGCCAAGCATCTCAAGGATCATGGTTGCTGTGGTGTATATCAGCTTGTTGGTCTCAGTGATGGTCATAGTAGGGATTGTTATTAGTGCTGCATTCACATCCTCTAATAGACTTTCAGAAGGCACTTTACTTAGTCTTGGTAACTGACTACGGGAGTTCCAGGTGTCCATCTTGCTCATGATCTTCAATCTCAGGACAGCTTCTCTTGAATCTAGCTCATCCGGGACCGTTACTGGGGCTTGGTACCCAATCTCCAATTGTGGAGGTGATGATGATGATGATGACCTGTCGTCCTGGCTCCCCCTTGCTGGAGCATTCGTGTTGTACCTCGTCAATCTCTAGTTGTGATAGCAGGTGCTTGTTGCGGATGTTAGAGCACTGGGCTACTAGTTGTTTCGATGTTAGTGTAGATGTTGGGTTTCGAAGTATCCATAGGTCCTACATCCTCCGTATGTAACCCCTCTTGCTGGGGTTACTTGTATAGTAGCATTCCAATAGTTCCCTGTTCTCCTCTCTTGTGCATGAATGTCTTGTTCCAGTAGCCCACTTCTCATCAGGTTGCCCTGGTTCCTCAACACCTGACGCGGACCTTGTTGACCCAGGCGACATCCGAGCTGGTGTGACTCTTATCTTTCCAACTCTCATTGCCCCATGAGGTAGGCAGGTAGCATTAAGGGCCTTGCCTAAGGACCCAGGCGGGATACTGACCATGCCCTGACCAGGGTTCGAACCCCCGCCCTTCTGTACCAAAGACACACCATAAAATGTTATGGCCCTCGAGGTGACTTGCTTCGAAGAACACCATTGGGGACGAAACGTTGGCACTCTAAATAAATCATGTATGATTAGTGTGTGGTCGTTCATCTAGTTTTCCAGCACCTGTTTTGAGTTGTGCATTCACGCTGCTTTACTTTGATGGCCTTCACAGTGACCAGCTCTCACACCAGTAACAACTATGGCAAATTTTGGACTTACAGTAATTGCTGTGAGACTTGACTTATTTGAGACCCAACAGCCTAAAATGTTGACTTAATTTGAGACTTGAAAGCAGAAACATCAGTTTGTATTGCAAGAACCTGGTCTCGGCTACATATGAGAAAAGAGTAGCCTAATACACAGCTTAGTGACTTGGTTTTGATTTTGATCCAGAAATCTTAAAATATGTTTGCTCCAACTGTTGTGAGCTCTACCTGTGCTGAAACACACACAGCTGAAATTATAAGTATGCATTTGGCTTTTATTTATGACCAGACATGCATTTATATACATAACCACACACAAACACACAGCTCCACCAGTGAAACCACTGCTGCTACTCATCAGTGTTATGTGTAACTGATTTCAGGACCAGCAGCCAAGGTTTTCCCTCCAGGATCTCCAGGTGGTTCTTATTTACTCATCAGATAGAACAGCTCAAGCCTGGCAGAGGTACCTATACATGCACAAGTTCACAAACCATAAAGTTGTCTGTGACCTCTTGAAATTTCAGTCTGTTTCAGGAGTGTTGGTTCTTGTACCTGACATCTGCAACCAACTATAACTACACTATAGCTCCATTTTCAGCAGTACTTGGAAAATCAATTAGATTCAAACAAGCACGTCTTGGCCAAACTCACCCAGTTACATCTTTGACAACACTGTTTCTAGGTATGCAGTGCACAGTAACATGTTTTTCTTGTTCAGGAGGTTTAAGTAGGTCAAGTCCAAATCACAACATTGCATCAGAAATTAAAAAAGAATGCAAGATGTAGATGCTCCACTGCATGCGCAGCATGATTCCCTTTAAGATAAGGCTCACCATTGCGCTCCATGTTGACAAACTGATACCACTTAAATGCAGAAGTGTCCGCCAGGCTAGTCTGTTGCTCCTCCTCAGATCAGATTGGTAAACTGGTGGCGGCATGTAGGTCAGTCATTGTAGGAGCACTCCCTTTAAGCTTAAATCCAGCAAAGACACAACACAGAATAAGAAACTGACAATATTTGTGGTAAGTAAAGATAACCAGTTGCTGATACCAATCTGTACTGTATTTCTCATAAAATGCACCTACTTTACCTCTTTGAACCACCTAACACATTAGAACAATTAGTAATTTTGTGTAAATATTAAATATTTTTGTTGTTGTTGTTTTACCACACCTGTCTTCTATAAGCATACTGTGCCGCTTGGTGGAGTCACATAACCAAAGCCAGGGATTCTGTGGGCGGAGTATACACAGTGAGAGGGACCGCAGATCTTTCAGTGGTCCGCTTGCTGGGCTGCATTAGTTATTGCTGGAAGGAAAAGGAAAGAGTCCAAAGAGCTGATGAAGTTCAGATGTTATTCCAGAAAGAAACAGGCAGACAACAAGGAAACAATGAGTGTGAAGAAAAAAAAATTGAAGGTATGATAAACTTAATTCCACGGTTAAAGTTCAGACTAATCCAGGTGTGAGGATTCAGATGTTCACAGATGACCTTGGTTCAACAATAAAACAATCATTAAACATTCACAAAGATCAGACTTTAGCCAAAATTCATTAGCCATAGTCTTTCCTTTTGGAAAAAGTCTCCCTTGTATAGCTACTCTAAAAGCCTATATATCAGACATTTGATGTTAAATGCATTCCAGCATACGTTTTGTGCTGAAATGGTGTGATACTCTGATTGGTTTCCCATACTTTTCAGACTGACTTTCAACAGCTCTCTGGAGGATGGGTGTGAGCTTGTTGCTCTCAGTCAGTGGTGGGCATATGGATGTATAAATATAGTGAAGCAATCCAACTTGTTTGTGAACACTGGGGTGTGTCTGTGGTCACAGTTGACCTCCATTAATCAAAACACAGTTTAACATGTGGCTGCAATGCGTTCGGGTCCTTTGAGCTCCTCTGGCAGGAGATAAATGAAATGTTTAATCAGTTTCAGTTTTCCAATGAAACTGGGATACTGGTTAGCTGACTACAATCAAAAGCATTCATAGCCTAGAATGATGTCATGTTCCTTCTTGTTGGAAAATACACCTCTGTTATCTGTTTTTTCACAGTTAGCATTGATTTTTTTTTAAACACCTGAAACCGCTGAGATCTGTTAAATCAAGTACCTGATCATATTACACATTTTCACATGAGTCGTCTCACAACCAGAAGGTTGAAGGTTCCAATCTCGGTGCCAGCAGTCCACATGTCGAGGTGTCCTTGGGCAAGACACTGAACCCCCGCCGTTGCCACCGATGGTTAGAACCATCGCTTGAGGTGTCGCTGCAGATGGCTGCCATTGGTTCTGTACCAGAAACAAATTCCTTGTGTGTAACATACTTGGCCAATAAAGGTGAATATCCTTATTATGATTATGATTGCTTAATTGCATTAATGAAACAGAGAAAAAAGTTGTCTAATACCATTACTTGGGTCTTGCCAGGTGAAGCTACAGCATACTACACATACACACACATTTTTAAAATTCCCTGTGATTTGACAACCATGCACTTACATAATGTTTTAAAGATGTAAAAAGAAAAGCTATCAACTTAATGCCTCAGTATAGAATATTTCCCCTGAGATGAATGACTAGTTTAATAATAATCTGTTTGGATATGTGGTTCCAAAATCCCCTTTGACAGAGAGAAATATTTGCACAGTGTATTGTGGTGAAACACAGCATCTCTCACTTCACAAATGGATTTATTGCAGTGCACTTGCATTGTGCTCTTAACAGGCACAGACACATTTAATGCATCACTGAGGTAATGTGTTCTTGGTAAACATCCAGTAATGCAGCCTGTATGTGATGATTTTACTGTGTGTAATACAAACCATTACCATGAAGTTATAGTCAGCATTCTCATTCACACCACAGAGGTCAAGGGTCACCTGGAGAGAGCATTCCAGGACAGACTATACGGCTCCCTGGAGGTATGGATGAAGCTACAGCTTGTTTGGCCATCTGCTTTGACCAGCCCCCACTACTCTGCAGCTAAAATGGACTACACACACACACACACACACACACACACACACACACACACACACACACACAAAGCGTTACAGTAGTTGGCCCCTGCCCTTTGCACTTCTTAAGTTCTCCAGAAGACTTGGTGTTCTAGGTGGTGACTGCTAATAATCATATCAGACATGTTTCTGCAGCCTAAATTAGAAAGTGCTACAAAATTGGCATCAGTGTTGAAGGAAGTGTTCATACCCCTTATTCAAGTAAAAGTAAAACCTCTGATTTAAACTATTATCACAATCTTACTCACATACAGTATTTTATTAATCAAAGCATGGCATGTCATACACTTGCTGCACATCATATAACTATCACTTGAAAAGCTTTAAAGTGCAATGAAAAAAAAATCCTCATCAAACAATGTAATGCTTGTATTTGTATTCGTATTGAAAGAATAAATCAAATCAAATCAATAATGGGCGGAGCCAGGGAGTGGCCAGTTTTATTTTATATCATGCATGCAGCATGATATCTGCATTCATTTGTCCAGTTGTGTTGTTGTGGAGTACTTGGATTGATTCGCCTCAGCGGGTGGGGAACCACTGCGCAGCAACAAGGTCTCTGACCGGGGGTGAATACGGGGCGCAGCCAAAGTCAACTGAAAAAGCATTGTGTCTCACTTTTAAACAGAATAAACAATTTCATTTGTAATAATATATAATTTATTATTGCATAGAACTAAGGGTTTAATTTACTTTTTACATGTATTTCAAATGTAACACCCCTCTCTGAGTCTGTGCCCCAGCCTGCCCACCCCATTCAAAATTTTCTAGATTCGTCCCTGATTCATCTATAAGTTGACTAAAGTCAAAGCTGTTTTTTGTAGTTTCTGACCAGCTATTGAATTTAAACTGAGACACCTAGAAGAAAACTATACTGCTGGTGTACAGCCAGTACTGTGTGCTTCTGCCAATATTGTGTTCCAGTTAGACTGACTTATACAGGTGCTGTTGGAGTCTAGCCTTTTCATGATGGTCCTCTCTGTAGTCTCAGTATGACAGGATGAAACTTCAGATAGCAAAGTCATGGCACACAAACCAATCCAAAAATAACCTGAAAGCTACAACAATGTCTCCTGCTTAGCTACATGTTGTTTCCAATATAATGCATAGGCTTCTGCAAACAAGTCTAGGACTACATTTTTACTCATCTGTGCAAAATCAGTCAAATATCTTCAGACAATGATACGATAAGATAAACACTCAGAACCTCAGTGTGTCATTTTAAGCCTCTAGTAACTTCATTTGAAATGTATTTTTAAAAAACACTCCTTATAGTCCTTTCATAGAGCAAATTAGTAGAGCTAAAAACAAAAATTATGCATTATGACAAGTCATTTCATTCAGTAAAGTATTTGTGGTCATAACACCACTTCCTTCCATAACCACCTTCAAAAATATCAAATGAGTACTGTACCTATTATCAGACAAAGGTTAGTGCTAAAGGTTCAAAACAGTTATTTGAAATAATGTGGACATAGTTGGAAAAAGTGCACTGCCGCAGCTAGTTTTAGCCGTCCTACTGAGTCAGTCATATCTCAGATTTTAATGGGTGACTGCCAGCACATCACTTGAAATGTCTTTACTTTATGTATCTTTTCAAGTAATTACTGATCTGATCTGTGGGGCTGACCCTTCCACCCTTTAACACCAACCTCACCTCTTGTCTCTGTCACTGCTCCTAAACTTCATCAGTGTCACAAACAGCAGGAACTGTGATCTGCTCAGTATTTCAGGATCTCTTTATACTCTAGCGCCATGTGTTTAATGAATAAATGTCTCTGAGATGAAACGGGCTATGGTGGATTGTCATATTTGTAAGTAAAATCTATTTACATTCAGAAATAAATAGACAGACAGTCTGTTTGCATAGTGTAAAAGTGATCACTAGAAGTTGCCCGGAATCAGGATGATGTATGTTCTTTGTGTGCTGCGACTGGCATGGGGCTGATCTGCTCTGGGCTCTGAGCTTGTCCCGTATTTGTGCAGGAGGACGTCAGCATGAGAAGGGTCAACAACAGCCAATCCTGTGGTTAACAGCAGATGACAGTTACCTGGACGAGAAGAAAGCAGCCATGTTAGCGGACGCTTGGGATTAAATGGAGGGTACATTCCACTTTACACTGATCCCAGTGCAGAGTCACACTTATGCAGATACTGTACATGTGCAAACCTACAGCATATTTATCTACAGCATTTGATCTACTTTTACTTACAGGAGCTGCAGTTTAGCTTCAGCTCCTATTTAGTTTACATCTGATACATGTATTTATTTTGATGCAACAGTATTTACCAGTATTTTCCCTGTTAAATAACAATGTCATAAAATATGATATACAATGCAATAATAATATAATATAATACACATCACATAACTCACTTTGTTACAAATTCAGCAATAACTGTCTCACACTTTTGATTGATTTTGTCTCCTTTGTCTAGATCACAGCTTTCATGCTCATTAAATGTGTTGTGCCTTTGGTATATGAATGTGTTTGGCAAAGAAAAAAATGACATGTGTGACATAAAGTATAGCACATATGGTGTAGGTGATGCAGTGTTACCTCTCTCTGAAGGGCAGGTTTGAGTTACTGAGGAAGGACAGCTGCTGCTCCAGACTGCACACACGAAAGGCCAAGTAGCACGATGACAGGATGAGGAGAATAATACTGACGAGAGAGGAGGAGACGCACAGTTAAATCAAGAATGGGTTTTATGACAGACACTGGAATCCTCTCGATGTACAGGAACAGAGTGTAATGTGTTTTAGACACTGGAATCCTCTTGATGTACAGGAACAGAGTGTAATGTGTTTTGATGAACACTGGGAGGTGATGTTTCACTTTCTGTCCACACTGTGCTTGAAACAGCACAGCTAAAAACTTAAAGGACTAACGCTGTGTTTTTGCTAGTTTTATTTTCACAAATGCATTACCTTGATCTAATCTATGCCTGTCATGTTGTTATTATATGTAGGTATGTGTGTTATGTAATTATTCATGTATATACTGTAGGTCTGTACATGCACTGTATACACACTGTTCGTGTGAGTGTAGGTGTATGAAAGTATTATATGTGCATGTACCTATTTTGCCCCCACCCCACCCTGTTTTACTTTTATTATGATGGGAAGCACCTTGAACTGTTTTGTGTCAAATGGTGCTATACAAATAAACTTTGATTACATTTTATTTATTCAGTTGACATCACCATTGTGCAATAATACAGTTTTTGTGCAGATGATCTAAAATAAGCCTGCATTGTATTATCTCAGCACAGTAATACAACATTTATTTATCCGTTAATTTGCTTATGAATTATTAAATTGCTTGGTGACACAGTCCAAAGACATGCAGCTTAGGTTGACTGGCGACTTTAAATTGCCCCTAGGAGTGAGTGTGGGTGTGTGTGCTTGTCTGTCTCTAAGTGTCAGCCCTATGGTTGACTGGCGACCTGTCCAGGGTGGACCCTGCCTCTCACCCAATGTCAGCTGAGATAGGCTCCAACCCCCGTGTGACCCTCGTTAAGATAAGTGGTATAGATAATGGATGGATGGATTCAATGCTTGGCTTTACCCTCATTAGAAATTGTATGCTGAGTACAAATGTATGTGGAGTTATCGCTGAAATGTATATAGATTATGAATGTTCTTTTTCTTGAAGGGGGGTCTGAAGAGGCCATCAGCAGCAGACCTTGAGGAGCAGTGAGGGAGTGAGTCATTACTCTCGAGGACACTTAAGTAGGCTAGCATCATGTGCTGTGGGTGAAGGACAGTCTCCCTGATCACTGCCTTCCTTCAATGCTAGATGGCAGGTGGAGAAAGGAGAACATGATGCCCACTAAGACAATAGTGAGTCATAATATGTTTCATGGGAGGCAGCTTCTCTGTAGAAAAGTAAAAAAGTGTTTAAACAGCTCTGATCCCATGTACTAACTGATTTAGTTGGCTACTATTTTTATCTCCACATCAATGCTCACAGAGTGTGTGTGTAGCTGTGAGTCAGCTATTAGAGGAGGTGTAGGAGGTGTAGGTGGTGTTGCTGGTGTCTGAGTGTCCCTGTGTATACTCACAGCAGGGTGAAGAACTTGAGCAGCTGGTACTCCATCTGGCCCAACTCTGCCCCTGGCTCTGATAAAAGACCTCTGTCTGGCTGCAGAGCTTGCTCTGTAACACAAACACACACAAAATGCATTAACAGTGCTCGGCTTGACTGTGCTAAATGTTTTATTTTCAATAGTGCTGCCCCAACTGTTAGTGCACATCTGAATGATTGGCCTCAAACCAGTGCACAGTGCACCCACACAGATAATGGTGTGACAATATGCACTTTGGAGCTCAGAAATAAGTCACAGTATTAAGTAAACAGTGGGTATTACACACAAACATAAACACATATCACCCTGTTTGTGTGTGATGAAAAGCTATTACACAAGGTATTGATTCAGACCACACTTTTTAGTGGGGATATGTCTCATATTATATTACACCCTGGTTTTCTACTCCAAATGTGAGTGGTGATGATAATGTACACAAAAGCCCACATGTAATACAGTCCAACATTAGTGTACGCTAGCATTAAGAAATGACCTAAAGCCTGTCAGCACAGTGCCATTAAACTGTCCACAGACAACTCTGGCAGCAGACATCATCTGTGGTAATCTTTCCTTAATCTGTGTCCGCCCAGAGCTTCTCAGAACAAGCACCCACATGATTAAAATCTCCATTTGGACCTTAATGTGTCATTGCATAAGTGAGACATTGCCATCCAAAAGCAATTAGTCTCTGTCTTGTGCCCTCTCTCTCTCTCTCTCTCTCTCTCTCTCTCTCTCTCTCTCTCTCTCTCTCTCTCTCTCTCTCTCTCTCTCTCTCTCTCTCTCTCTCTCTCTCTCACACACACACACACACACGCACACACACACACAAACACATATATCCAGACAATTAAACACTATATCTGTGTCTAACAAACATTCACAGTTATCCTTTAAACTAAGGACTAGGTCAGGCTACAAAGTGTTATCTATTATCTATAAAACACGTCATGGATTAACACCTCCTTACTCGTCTGAACTCCTTAAACCTGCCATTCCCTACAGGTAGGTTCTGATTGTTCTAAAGATTAGTGAGCAATCTATTGTTGCCCGAGCACTTTCTCAGGTTGTTCCACTGCTGTGGAATACTTTGACCAATGAGAGACACAAATGACATTGAGGGTTTTCAACTGGGAATAAAACCCATTTTATTGAACTGCTAACCTGTTTCACTTTTGTTGATTAGAACAAAAAGGGATTTAAAGTGTATTTTCAGTTTTATGTATTTTTACAGTATTAAGAGAAAGGGAAGTCTGGGCATCTTTGCTTAGACTGCTGCCCCTGTGACCCGGGTCCAGATAAGCGGAAGAAAATGGATGGATGGAAGGATGGATATATTTTTACATTAATGTTATCTTTAGTAACTGGTGTTTCTCCTCTTTTGTAAAGTGTACTGAGACATGCGTCTTTACACTTATACTGAGGTAGTTTGCATCGTCTTTGTGTGGATGGTTTTATCACCTTCCAGCGGCGGCTCTGATTTGAAGGGTGTGTCTGCTGCGCTCAGGCTGCTGGTGGAGTTCCCCAGGAGGTCTGGGAGGGAGGAGGACACAGACACCACCGAGGGTTTCCTCCTCCACTTTAACACTGATGGGAATTCATTGACCACCGGGAATTCGTCCGGAGCTGGAAAATCATCCTGTGGCACAGAGAGAAAAGAAATATGTATTGGAAAGATGGTGTGATCTAACTGCAACAGTGTCTGAACATCTCAGCTGTGAGCACCCTGGTGGTTCATTCATCTCAGCCTGACTTACTATGTACAGCCCTCCTCAAATTGACCCATGGGCTTTACAATGATATTTAAGTCTGGAGACTGGGAAGGCCATGGTAAAACATTCACCTTATTCTTTTAAAACCATTCCTGAGCTGACTTTGCTCTGTGCTTTGGATCAATGTCTGCCTCTTCTTTTGTAGCTTTTTGATTGACGGCAGGAGGCTTTGCTTTAAAATCTTCTGATGCTGAGCTACATCTTTTTTGCTTTGAATACCATGAGTCTAGATTAGAACATGATCAAGGATGAGCATGTTCTGTGGCAGAGTGGTCTGTGGTACACACACCCACACACACACACACACACACACACAAATCAGTGACCTCTCAATGTAATGCAGGACCATCTTGCCGACTCGGGGAATAATTCACTACAAGGCTTCAGCTGTAACAGAACGAGCTATTGGTCCTGTCTGTGAAAGGAGGTAAGTCAGCCTTCAGGTGAGGGCTAGTTGTACAAACCCAAATCAGAATAAGATGGGACCATATCAAATATTGTGCTGCTGTATTGTTTTCAATGTAATGCAGGACGCAGATGGTTTACACATCACTATTTTCACTTTTAATTTTGATTTTACATACTATCTCAACTTTTTCTGATTTGAGGTTGTAAGCGAGAGCAGTCAGAAGCCTTTAGGCCAACATGAAACACAGCTAGGAGATGCTAAAGTAATTTTGGTGGATTTAGAACTGACCAACGATAACGTTGGCTCCTCCAGGAGCTGCTTCAAGCTCAGACTCTTCCCATTGACCTGAAGCAAGAAAAGAAATCGCCTTTTTAACTGATGTGTACACTACACAGTTTGCATGAACAGTATTCATGTAAGTGTACTGTATGTCCTCTGACCTGTAGGTGTGTGCAGATCCTGCGGAGGACATCATATACACTATCTCTTGATAGCAGAGACACAAATACATACTAGGGAAATAAAAAAGAGGCACATTGTGACATGAACATGTTGATATTAAGATTATGATTTTGACTGATCACTTAAACTCCTGAGAACAGCATATACTGTACAAATGTAAAAATAAAATTAAATACAAAAGGTCTCACTGAAACTATTCTGAATTTATCCAGACACATAATGATGTGTACAGAATGCAGTTTGTGTCCTTTTAAAGAGAACAATTCTTTCAGTTTTACATGCATAGAAGTGTTTTTACTGGGGAACATGAAAAAGAGGTAGTGCACACTTTTCCCTTATTCCAGAAATTAAGTCAGATAAGCGCAGATAAAAAAACACAGATCAAGAAGATTATTTGTTTTACACCTCAACCTGCCTCAGCAAACACTACTGAAATAAATCTCGGTGTTTTTATCTGAAATATTAGCACCTGAAGATGATTCGATCACCAGTGTTGGGTCCATTTCAATGAAAATATCAACCTTCTTGTGATGTTGGTATAGAACAACAACATTACTGCTGGGCAAGATTTAAAATTCTCCAGAAATCTTTTGGCTGAAAAACAAATTCAACAGCTGTAATCTGGGGCACAAACAGGATGCTTTTCTAATTACATTTTCGTCCCGGCTTATTCTTCCATGAAAAATGATGAGTGACAGGTCAGTGATGGTCCAGCCGCACAACACTCTGACCTAGATAAATATCAGTGTTGTCTAAAAAATGGCTTTGAATTTATTTGTGAGCATTTGGAACACAGTGTTATGTGTGTACAGTGTGTTATCAGTTATTTTGTCCACGTCCTGTTGTATCTCCTGAGCCTTATCTTTGCCCTTACAGACATAAGCCATTAACTTTTTACCTCATAAGCAGAAGAACCACCCTCAGTCATTTTTCAAACATATGCAGTGTTGGCGTGATGTACACAGGCATGTATGTGTGCACATTTACGTAACGCATAGTACATAATCATGCAGACATGTAAGTGCAGAGATACGTCTGTATGAAACATTGTTTCCATACTTTGACTTTGACAAAGGGAAACCTTTGTTAAGAGGGTGTCGCTCAGACACTGTTGTTTGGGCATCAGGTTGGAATATATGTGTGTAACATTGCACTTATGAACCTGTGGTGACAGTCTGTGGAAATTCAATGTTTTCTTCCACATGTATCTGGTTAAAATCAACCCAGGCATTCTTTTTCTTAGTATAAAAATAAATCATACTTGCTTGGTATACAGTACACATGTACAGTTGCTTATGTGTAGCACATATGAGTTAATAGCACAGCACGCTCTGTGTGTGTCTGCGAAGAACTAAAAAGCGTCTGCTATTTCTGGACGTTGTGACTCCCATAATGGTGAGTGACCAGCTCTTCGGGGTATGCACACTGGCAACGGCCTGCATGAAGCTGAAACATGTGAGCTACAAATGGAAACATGCTGAATATTCTGTAATCTGGTTCCTTCGTGTGAAGTAAAAAAATGTACCAGTGGGTCGAGCAAAAATAACCTGGCAAAACTTTCTAACATAAAACCTAAATTTAACAAATGAAAAGACTTAATTTTCTCACGCCTATCTCTTTTGCAGAAGGTGCGTACAGTGGCACACAAATCATTAACTTGAGGGATCAATTAATTAAAAACACCACGTCACCCTCTGAGCTACACTGTGCAATATTAACTTGTAGTTGAAGAAAAATAATCTAGGTGTTACCTCAGGCTAATGCTGCATGTTGGCTATCATTAGTCATGGGTTGTTGAAGGCAGGAGCTAAAAGGTTCATTACATCTTTGAAAACCTGGAGGCAGGTGGGGTCTGATGTGACAGAAAGTCAAGAGGACCTTCTGAACATTGCTGGAATGTTGCTGGAAAATCTCTTCACTCTTTTACACCACTCTTCTTCTATCTATAGTATGGTTCTTCCATCACACCTTGCCTGGAAAATACAGCCATGCTGCACTAATGCTGCGCTAATTAGCATAAGTATTTCACTTCACAGCAACTGCCAAGGAAGTGTTTACCTTCTGGCCAGCCTCTGTAGTGATAGCCAAGCCATTGGGCACCAGGCCTGCTGTTTTGTGCTTCTTCACCAGCCTCACAGAAACAACGGGGACAGCCACCTAGAGGAGACACAGAAGTAGCATTTAAAAGGAGACACACATATTGGAAAAGGTGAACTTAAAAGCAAGATGGTCAGAAAATTATAGTTAAAGTAAAAACAGAGGTACAATTTAAATAAATGACTGAAATACACCCATGAAACACCCCTGGAAAAAATTAGTGGAGGACTTGTGTCTTATATCAGTCAGAATGTGAGGAATGCAGCTTGAATAAGTAACTTTTTGCCACTCAGATGTCAGAGGAGGTTTGGTTTCAAGGAAATGAAAGAATAAAGGGGAAATTCACGACATATCAAAGAGAAAATCACACAAGATTATAGGTTCAGTAAGTGAGTGTGGATCTTATGGAGAGAGACATTTCTAGAATTAAGGCTTGGACACTGAAAGTCAGCCCATAATTGCAATTGACTTTCAGTCACTTCATTTGTCAAGTCGTCAAATCATCTTGTCAGATTGTGACTGCGAGCCCCTCAGTTCAAGTTTGTCAGTCAGTTCGAGTTTATTAAGGTGTCTGTCAGTCTTTTATACCTTAATGTCCTTGCCAAAAAGGTTGGCATAGAAACAGAGCCAGTTTCTGGAAATGTAGAGCCGACCTTGTAGAAGGATATCTCTGAGAAGAGCACATGAGTACACTGAGAACAGAAAAGACAAAACAGTTTTTTTTTTACTGTTTAAACATTAAACTTGATGAAGAAAAACACACAGGCTTAATAAAACATCATCACCAAACCCTACTGTTTGGCTGGTATGTCAGAAAATTCTAAATGATCTGGTTCTGTTTTAATTTTGACACAGTAGGTTGCAAATAGTATCAAAGTTTGTGGTAAACTGGCTGAACTGATGCAGAGGAGTTGATCCTGTGTTTCTGAGCTTAACCAGATGGCAGAGCTGAAGCAAGAGGAATCAGAGCTGAACACAATCAGCTATTTAATACAAATAGAAGGTAGGACAAAAGCAGTATGGTCCCAAATCCAGATATAATGAATTTAAAATGATGTAAAACAAAAAAAGATGCAGATCCCCACAACGCAAAAGTGATTGAGTGATTAATGGCTTGATGATTAATGAATTATCAAAATTGTTTGCAATTAATTATTGCTTATTGATTAACCAACTAATCAATTAGTCATTTCAGCTCCAGATCAAAGTAATAGCCGCACTAATAGTTAATAAAGGGCTAATATCAGTCTCATAGTGTTACTGTGCATTAGCACCTTGCAAGAAGAGAGAAACGGGCCACACAAACAGGCTGAGAGAATTTAAAAAGTTACAAATGCAAAAGAAATGTCGGTGAGGCTGAAGCATGACGTGTCAAGAATCATAAAACAGATGCTGGTGTACAAAACAGTCTTAGCATTTTCTTCATGGTAAAAAAAAAACAAAGTACCTTTCATGAGGATCTCATCCTTGGGCACACACTGGAACAGTTTGTGATACTGCGAGTTGTACTTGCTGACAGTCTGTGCAGAGGGACAGGGCAGAGTCATGAGCAGCTCCTTTGCGGACTGGCCTGCCTGCACAGCACCACCGACGCCACTTGCCGCAGACACCACCCTCTCCCTCAGAGGACGCGAGCTCCGCAGCAGGCTCAGCACGTTGGCACCGTACACACACGCACACTCGTGCACATCCAAGGCCTGGAGCGAGCTGCTGCAAGATACACACTGCTCCCCTGTCTCTGGTCAGTATGGGGCCGAGAAGGAGGGCTGTCTCAAACTATCTCTAGTCTACGTTCGCTCACACGCCTGGCCCACACGTGTACACCTACACACACACACACTACTACCGAACTCAATTTACAGCTCTTTCTCAGAAACTACAAGGCTCTCTTTCTGTCTCAAAAACACCTCCAGTGACTCCACACTTTGCAGCAGTCAGCTGAAACCCTCCCTCTCCTTCCCCCTCCCTCCAGGCACACATAGGTACTCCTCACTACTGTGTACACCTACACACACACACACACTACTACCGAGCTCAGTTTACAGCTCTTTCTCAGAAACTACAAGGCTCTCTTTCTGTCTCAAAAACACCTCCAGTGACTCCACACTTTGCAGCAGTCAGCTGAAACCCTCCCTCTCCTTCCCCCTCCCTCCAGGCACACATAGGTACTCCTCACTACTCTGCTCTCACAGTCCTTTCTTTCTCTCCCTTTGCTTTTTCCTTCCTCTGTCAGTTCTCCTCCTCTCTGTAGTGTCACCCTGTGACATCTAGAAGTCCTTACTTTTCAAGGAAAATCATACTGTTTCTTCTCTGAATGCACACACTCTCATTCATTCCCCACTCTCCTCCTTCACCACTCAAACTCACCTCTGACTCGATATCTCTGCTTACCCTGCTTTGCGGTCCTGTCCCGTATCTCGTCTGTCTTTCCTTTGACTCATATCTGCACAGTTTGCTGGTTCCTACCACTTCTGTTTGTGTCTCTCCATTAATAGCTCACGCTAGAGCTGGAGCGTGGAGCTTACAGTTAATTACATTAATGCAGGGGCTTTGACTATCATCGGGGGATAGCCCAGAGTTTATGTTTATTGTCAGTGCAATGTGTTATAACATTTCCTGACTGAATTCACAGGGCAGGTGCTGTTAGGTGTTTAGTTTGTAGTTTGGTTGTATTGTTTCTTCTCAATTAAAGTAGTTACACAGCTTAACCACATTACAAACCTTAAATTATGTTTAGAGAATTATTTATTTTTTATTTAGCATGATGGCAGATGGGAAAACAACTGAACATAACGAAGGGTCAGAGGAAATAACACTGCACCCTGACACACAAAGGTGCATGTAACCAAGGACAGACTCTAAAAAGTCTCAAAAAAAGGGTTTGCACATTTAAATGTATTTTTTAAAATTACATTTAGATTTCTTCAATGTGCAAACAGAAGGGTAACCCATAGAGAACAAGGTAAATCTATATGCAGCGCTGTGTAAAGGTTTTAGAAACTTTTCGATGTTTAGATGATACTTAGCCATTGCTGTCACACAGTAACATCAAGAAGGAGCCTGATTGGTCCCAAATTCATTCTGGAGCATGACAACAAGCCCAAACGTGCAGCAGAAGTAATAGAGAACTATTTTCAGTGACATGGAGAACAGCAGACAATATGGCCGCCACAGAGCCCTGATGTCAACAGCATGGGGTCAGTCTGGGCTGACACAAACAGGCAGGAGAGACTGAAGTAGACTCAATCTACAGGGGAGCTGTGGCAGGTTTTTCAAGCTGCTTGGAACAACCTAACTCACAAGTGCTCTGAAAAACTGGGTGAAAGTGTACAAAGGAGGACTGGTGCTGTTTGAAAGGTAAAGGGTTGACACACCAAATATGAATTTGATTGAGTTTGTTTCTGTTTACATCACTTTATAGAAAGTTAACTGATAAATGCAGACTATTCATGGCTCCCTCACCTTTAATGCCTAAAACCTTTGCACAGTACTGTGCATTTTAAGATAACAAACAGTAATATTAAATGCAGATTATTGTAAATACTGCTGGGCTTGTCAATAAACATACCATACATTTATAATGGCAGCATCTTTTGTATTATAGTAGTTTGCAATCTTGTTAGCATGTCAAATAGGATTCACAAGGGCAAATTAAAAAAAGTAAAAGATGTAGTGCGTTCAGATTTTATTATACTGGCCTTGTGTTTGTTTAACAGGGAGCATCACTTTTATATTGATTAAACATTTTGGTAAAAATTACTACAACTAGTTGGACTTGCTCCAATCACACACAGTAACAATTAGCATCAAACGAGAGACCAGACTCACCGACTCACGGTAACATTTCTTTACATCTTCATAGGACAGGTCTTCAATCAGCTGAAACCTGTAAAGAAAGGAAGAATAGACTGAGAATTAAAATTCAAATGTGCCTTTATATGATACATCTATTGTATGTAAATGAAATCCTGCATCTGCAAGTCTTTGTAATGAACGACTACGGCCAAAAAAATTTTTAAAATTCTACTTCAGTATTATCCTACAAGCTCATTTAAAGGCTGTTCACCGCCTTCATCTGGCCTGATGGTGGCAAAAAACAGTCCTTGGCAGCATGACAAATGATTGTGTGCCTGTGTACAGTACGTGCATATTTGTGTATGTGTATAGTGCATGAAAACCCCCGCTGGGTTAAAGCTTCCACATGACAGGTTAATCATCAGTGTGTGCATAACTACAGAGAGACAAAGGCTACACAGCACAATCAAAAACAAATACTGAGTTGATTAAACACAAATAGTGACCATTCCAGGAGATTATCAGTGTTTTACATTTTAGTCACAATATATGAACACACACACACACACACACACACACACACACACAGGCATCAAAGCAGTGCAGCAGATGTCACAGCATGATACTGGTGTCTGTCGCTAGTACAGACAGAACCACCCAGCAGATGAAATACAGGACAATCAGCCCTTTAAAAATGTCACAGAAATGAAGCGCAGCCTCAGTTAAGATGCTTTAAAGAACAAGACGTACGGCAAGATGTTCCTGAGGTATTATTTTCTGACAGAGACCTTCTCTTCCAGTATCTGCCTGTAAGTGCTAGGGGATTGACAATGAGTAGAAAGCACAAAGCACTAATATGAAACCGCTCCTGCTCAAGGAGCTACTGATAAAACAGAAGGCTCAGCAGAACCAAACTGCAGCTTCATGTGTAGTGCGGTGGATTAGCTTACTCTGGAAGTAATTTTCCATACTGAGAACGAGAGGCCGCCATCATAACAGGGACGAAAGTCAGCCTTAATATTCAACAGGAATAATGTGGAGGAAACTGCTGTGTTTTCAGACATGCTGGTTGGCCCCTCACCCTCCAAGTCTTTTCTTTTATGATGACTCAGCACTTTCAACCAACATATACACTAACATTAATTTAATTAGCTAACATGCAACAGCTGAGCCAATCTGATGGCAACATTTGGGTGGTTCAGTGGGTAGGTCCGGGGGGCCGGAGGTTTGAATCTCGGTGCCTGCAGTCCACATGTCGAAGTGTCCTTGGGCAAGACACTGAACCCCTAAGTTGGTGTGAATTGGCGCCGCAAATGACTGCCTCGGGTCTGTACCGGAAACAAATTCCTTGTGTGTAACATACTTGGCCAAATAAAGGCGATTATATTCTACATTTGCTGTAGTCAACTAGGAATGAGATGCCTGTTGTCCAAAGAATTTCAGTGTTATTGTAATAAACTGAATGTGTGCCATGTGAGAACAGTAAGAGAGAGGAAGCTACATTGTGGTCGACTGGCTTAGCTAATGGCCGTTAGCTGTTAGCATCGGTCTGTTAAAACTTTAAACTAATGTAAATTCAATTGACATAAAAAGTAAACATACAACAAACATACGTTGTTTCAGCAAGAGATTATAAAATCATAAAAGACCAACGCCACATTTCTTTACTGTATACAGAAAGGCTTATGTTAAAACACCCCTCACTGTAGCTTGCTTCATAACAGAAGGGCTGCCAGTGTCCCAGCTCTGAGAAGCTCTGTCCTCCCCCCCGCCCATGTTTCTCTTCCTCATAGTGGATGTGACAGCTGCAAACTGGCCACTCGGGGTCTGGTAATTACGCCATGAAGTGATCTGACTGATCATTATACACAACATAAGTCAAATCAATGTGGAAATTTAATATGACAAAATTACTTAAACCAACATCTGTGAAAACAAGGAATAGAAACCTATTTCTTTATAATTAAACTTTTAAATTAAACATATTCTCAAATATTATGCACTGTGCAGAATCTTTTTTTTTTTTTTTTTTTTTAAATTAAACCACCCTCCCAGAAAAGGCATCCCATTATCTTAAGAACAATAGTGCATGTGCTCTGCTCTTCCTGCCTACTGGTTGTTGCCTATAAATAGGCTTCATAAAGGCTCTGCTCTGCCAGGTGGAGAGAAGAGAATGATTATTAAAAGCACAGGCAGCTCTGTGGGGACTAACTGATTCCCCAGTCATCCCTCACACTCTCCATCTGTCCCTCTGTTTTACACTAGATCCAGGTCTTAATCAATACTGCCAGTGCTTCTAGGTGAGCATATGCAAAAAACTGCTATGGGCGACTCCCACCATACTGGGACGATGTGAGAAAATGAGAGTAGTTAAAGACACAACAGTGAAATCTAGTTCACTAAATGGTCAAGGTTTATTTCGGTTATTATTCAGAAGGTTAAACTTGATTCACAGACCCAGGCAGAACCTTGGAGTAAACATGAAAATCACTACAACAAGTCTTCAGGATTTCAGCAACAACAACAAAATATGATTTCAGGTGCCAGAAGGCTCAGAGAACTCTGTAGTGTACCTGTCTGAACCCTACAGAGGAGCTCATAGAACATCTTTTCAGAAGCTGTAGTTTGGAAATTAAACAACCTGTGCAGCTTATAGCCCCAAACATAACATAGCATAGCATAGCATAACATAACAACATAATGTTGTCTGCTGCAAGTGTGTGCATGTGTATTTGTGGATACGCATGCGCTTTTGTTCATGTATCTCAGTGCCCTTGGCTGTGAGGCTGAATAATGAAACTAATTACAAGCTCAAAGAATCCTAAATTGAATCCTAAATTAGAAAGCGAACACCTCCCATCAGTGGCCGGTGTGGCAGTGGGCTCCAAGTCAGTAATTTAGCTGGAGAAGAAATTGAGACTGAGAGTATTTAGACCCCAACAACACAGGCTTCCTCATTGGGCAAGAAATGAATCACCATAAAAATAAATATAAAAACAAATGGGCAGCATTAGAACCACAACACAGTACATGAAACAAAAAGAGGAGAACAGAACTGCTCTTCTTTTCAACACTGAAAGGGCATAAATCATGCACGCACTTTGCCCTGTTTCCTCATCTGAGTGCATCAAGTACAAGACTGACATGTACATTGAGCGTTCAAGTCCCTCCCATTCACTGAGAATATGAACATGCGTCATGCTGCAGTGCTAAATCCAGATTCCCCAGGATTACTGCCCCTGCCTCCAATCCTTCTTATATAACAGACATACATACTTCTCTCTGCACAGGTGCACAGACACCATAAAAAAACATGCTGAAATGGATTAAAACACGTTAATACTGGTGTAAGTCCAGCCATTTAGATTTTCCAAATACATATAACTTCTATCCATGGGCGTATGGGTGGGCAGGTGCTTTGTAAATCTCTATTTGTGGACTCTTTCCGTGCATGTGTGTGTATGTTTGACCATTGTCTGACATCAAATGCTGCAGAAACAAAAGCCCAAAGTGAACACTGTGAAAATAAATCTCCTAGGGCTGCAACCCATGGCCATGCACAGGATACAGATGGAGCCTGGAAAGACAGCAGGTGTTACAGAGCAGTGTGTGTTTCATGTGTGTGTGTGTGTGTGTGTGTGTATGTGTGTGTGATAATTGCCTGAAGTGGCCATGTGTGTCATCATCCTTAGAAGGGTCCAGAACCTGAGTTGAGAGCAGGCTTGTGTCTTCGCTCTGCTCCTGCTGCTCGGTCATGCTCCTGGCCCTGAATACACAAACACACAGCTCTATGTTAACAGCAGGCACCTCTCTGCTGGACCTTCATGTACACTTGCAAAAAAATGTGTGTTTGTCTCCAGGTTTGGCGTTAAAAGAAAAAAAATCTGGGTCAGACAAGTGGACTCTATCTTCAAAATCAACATGTCGGTAATGCTACATTCAAAGTCTGATTCTGCAGGTTTACACTACATAAAAAAATCTCTACTCAACAAAATAAACCTGTGTCCCTTTGCTCATGCAAATAGGCTCAGATGCACAAACAGAATGAGCACCTGGGAGGCTGTGCAGATGGCTGGCCTGCGGCGCTGCTGGGAGCTGATTCAAACAGTTTTTAAAATACACTTCATAAGCTGAAACCTGTCTCTTCAAAATAACTGCTACAAAAACCAAGAGAAGAAGAAATATGTTTTCTTCTTCATGAGCCACACATTAATATGGAAACCTTCAGTGAAAGAACAATCCAGCAGAAACTCTGAGGGATGACAGCATCATGTTTACTCTGAAGGATCACATGTACAGTGGGGCAAATAAGTATTTGATACACTGCTGATTTTTCAAGTTTTCCCACTTACAAAGAACGGACAGATCTGTAATTTTCATCATAGGTACACCTCATCTGTGAGAGACAGGATCTACATTGTTAGATTTTTAAATAATTAATTTCCATTTTATTGCATGAAATAAGTATTTGATACAATAGAAAAATAGAACTTAATATTTGGTACAGAAACCTTTGTTTACAATTACAGAGGTCAGACGTTTCCTGTAGTTCTTGACCAGGTTTGCACACACTGCAGCAGGGATTTTGGCCCACTCCTCCATACAGGTCTTCTCCAGATCTTTCA